ATTTTGGCTCCTTACTGCATCACATAGCAACAAAAAAATCTAAAAGAGCAGCAGATTTATTTTTTATGTGCAGCCTGAATTACAGTAATAAATACAACGGGTTTAATCAGGCTTCAAAGTGGACTTTGCATAAAAATGCCAGGGGCGAAATTTAGTCAAACCCAGTGGAGATTTTTTTGATATTCCAGTGCAGATATTATTAAAGTTTAGGGCATGTACATGACTGGAAACCGGTTTGATAGGATAATGGTAATTGCGTAGACAGGGAATAATATATCAGTCACCATAAAACCAAACTTCCCCCAGCACCAAACACACTGTACCAGAAGTGCGCAAGGAAAGAACATCCTCAGGATGGAAGCCCTTCATCAGTCAGGAAGACTTCACTGATCACCCAGGGAAAAATATATGTTTTAAGAAACTAAGAATTCCCTTTACTTTTGTATACTGTGTTTTACTATTTTATTGCAATGATTTAATTGTGTATCTGTGATTGTATTGCCATGCAGAATATGTACAGACACAAGCATAAACATTTAGGTAACATTTGCTGACTGCAGGGTACTCTATGTTCTAAGTAACATGCATATTCATTACCTACCAATAAGATCAATAAGCCATGCCAGTATAGTGGGATACCCAAACCTACTTTTTGCCACACTACACATGGTAGACAAGCAAAATATGTGAGCCTTAATATAAACTCTGGCAGTTTCTTTTTCTTACAGGGGTTGTTGGAGAGATGCCATGCAGCTAATGCCACCTATTTATTCCAAACTGATAAGTTCTACAGCCTTCAATACGACACTGGAGATAAGTCAATCCAGTGTGGCCGCAGAGTGGACTGCCTAAAGCTCTGGCTTATGTGGAAAGCACTTGGGACCAAGGGACTGGAGAAACGGGTGGATAGGATCTTGGGAAATGCCAGGTAAAAGACAACCCATAGGAAGTATAGAAATGTGCTAAAGTTGTGAACAGTAACATTAGATCAAATAAAGTAAAGCTACCACTGGCTATCAAATATGATAAAAAAGTATGCGCAGTTCACTATTTGTAGATATTGTTATAGGTGGGCAATATAGGTATTTCACAAGTGTTAATATAACATTGAATAAGAAAAGCAATATGAGTAATTAAGCTCTTAGTTCCATCCCAAACAGAAGTCATAAATTGAGAATTAAAGTGACATTAAACCCTCAGATTTTTTAACATAAACCAATACTGTAATGTGTGCCTTACTGTAATCCATGGTTGTTTCCCTTCTCTTTGCTGCTCTTCCTTTTTAAATCCTCATGTTTTCTCATGCTTGGTGAGAACTTCCCTTTGCAGCTCGGGGTCTCTTCCTGTAGTGCTGGCTTAGGTTACAAACCTACACACAGACACCATGTATCCATTCCTGAGACAAGGCAGTCTGCTGCAAAACAGAAGTTCTGCCCAGCATGAGAACAGATACAGATTTAAAAGGAAGAGCAGCAAAGAGAAGGGAAACAACCATGGATTACAGTAAGGCACACATTAAACTATTGTTTTATGTTAAAAAATCTGAGGGTTTAATGTCATTTTAAAGAACTTGGACCACTTCAGTTGGATTTAATGCTTAAACTGACTTTTTTGTAGCTACATTTCTCTTTAATATACAGCAAGCTACAGATAGTACAGTATACCTACCAGGTATTGATACACTAGTGTATAAGTCACTCAAATCAAGCTCCGATAGTGTGGCCTCTATAATTGTGGGACTATAATTAAAGTAGTATTAAACTTTTAAATTTTTTTCAATATTAAATCCAGATCAAATATACATTGCCCTGCAAAGTATTTATTTATTCTTTATGTTTTTTAATTTTTGCCCATGCACGCACAGTCATCATGTTTACAAACAGCTCCAACTCTCTCAACTCCACTTCCCTGAACCCCTGTCCAGAGACAGAGCAGTCTCCAGCTCTCCATCTACTAGCTTGGAGAAGATTGGAAGAAGGAGGGAGGAGGGAAGTGGCTTGCCTTGCTGTGCCTGTGTGTTTGTGGAGACACACATAGCTTACTAGCACACACAAGGGTGGCTCCATAGGACCCTGAAAGGGAAATGAGCCACCCTAAGATTACATTTTTAAACATCAAGGAGGAGCATCCATTGTTGGTGATTTAATCGGCATTTGTGAAATAGATTAAAAACATTTAGACTTTAATATTTCTTTAAGCAGGTAGTAATGGCGTCAGGCAGAAGGGTGACAAGATTTAGATTTCAGAGCGGAGTTGGCAACTAAATGACTTGGCAGCAGAAGAGTACTCACCACATATAGATAACTGACCTATATCATAGGCTACTAGAAAGTAACCAGCAAAAACAGTTATAGGTGTTACTAACCTATGTAGTCCACATATCTGTAAATCTGATGCATATGCCCATGGATATTTTGTGTGCACAGCTTTTCAAAAAGCACAATGTTTGCAAAGGCGAGAAAGCCTTTACGATAAAACATACAAAGAATGTTGTCAAAATAAGTTTTCCTTGCTGAGAGCTAAAGAAAAGTCAAATATATTTAGAAGTCAGCGATTGCAGTATTATTATTTTTACACTGGCTGAAATGATTTCATTTACAGGGTTATTCACAGAAGGGTGAAGAGTTTGGAGAAGGCAGGAGAAGGAGGACAACATAACTGATTTGGAAAAATTCACCAATTCTGCTCCCTTTCCAACTCCGCTATGTTGTCCTAGAATGTTCACTTCTCCTGCCTTCTCCAAACTCGTCACCCCTTTGTGAGTAACCCTGTTAGTTATCTGAGACATCACAACTAGTTAGTGCTTCAAGTACAGACTGAAGTTAGTATAGTTACCCGACCAATACCAATCAACTTTATAGTCTCAGTAGGCTCACAACATGGTGAGACAATGCTCCATATGTGATTGAGCCCATGAGACATTTAGTTCTTTTTTATTTCTGTAGAGAAATTCAAGATCTGTTACATTGACACTGATTAATGTGTCATCTGACCTCCATCTTCATCCTGTATACTTTGTTCAACATCACACTGACTGCCTTTAGGCGATCCCTTAAGACTCATCTCTTCATGGAAGCCTATTCCACCTCAACCTAACCACTGAACAATCACTTTCTCAAACAATCATCCCCACACAGCTCCCTCCTCATGTATCACGTCCCCCTCCCTTTTAGATTGTAAGCCCTCACGGGCAGGGCCCTCCTTACCGTCTTGTCTTGAATTGTATTGTGATTGTAATGACTTCCTTTTATTGTAAAGCGCTGCACAAACTGTTGGCGCTATATAAATCCTGTATAATAATAATAAGTTCTGCACTGAGATCCCCCCCTACCCCAGAACATTAGCTCACATGTTCTATTTTGGATTTCAGACACTTAGCAGAAGAAATTAAACGGAGGGAGGGATTCATTCTACTTATGGCGGTATGTTGGATACAAGTTTAATTTTACATATGGATTTTATGTTCGTTGGAGCAGGACCCATCTAACCCTTTTGCCTTTTAATGGTTTTGTCACTGTTCCTCTTTATTTTGTAAAGCACTGTGTACAATAATATTGTAATAATGTTGGCACAATTTAATGCGTGTATAATTATAATAATAATAATAATATTCCATGCTACATAATATACATTATATTGCATTTAAACCACTGTCATAGCTGAACAGAGATGAAGTATAGTAGAATAGTTTGTAAAATGCCTAATGCTTTGCATGTCTCTTCCATGCAAAGAAATTATAGTTTGTTAGGCAGACACGTGTGTATTTTAATAATTCACAAGGAAAAGGTCTCATTATTAACAGAAGAATTTCAGTGTTAACTAGCAAGTTTGTATTATTGTTGCTACTGGTCTATTCCATAAACATGTCTGAATTTATTGTCTAAGTAGCATCTCGGATTGAATGAGATTGTTGACATTTTGTCCAATAAGTCTAATGTAAGTGTCTCGGATAGAGGTAATCCTTGCTTTAAACGTTTATACTGTATAATAGGCAGGGCTGGGTTTTCAGCACTGGTACCTATAGGCACACAACTTTTGTCACCCTAGGTAACACTACTCTGCTAGGGTCACCTCTTTTCCAAGTGTAGCTGCCCTGCCCTAGGTAGGAGTTACTGTTTAAATTTAGAAGCTGTCAGGCTTTCTTGAATCTCTTCTAAGTTTGATTGTGTGCTTCTGTCTGCTGCTGGGGAGTGTCTCTGGCAACAGTGTGGGAGGCCACACAGAATTATGGATGTTCATACCTCCCTGACCAACCTCTAGAACAGGGGTGGCAAACTCAAATTCATCGGGGGCCGCAAAAAGCTCTATCTGTCCCCAAAAAATTGTATAAAATTTATTTCAGTACAGCGTTGCATGACGGAATAAACGTCAGTCAAAGTACCGCAGCGCTGAACACTGAAAAATGGCCCGGGGGGTCTAAACACCTGGTCTTGAAGTGGTTCAGAAACACTCTATTTAAGGTTTATTGCCTGTGGTGCAGGCTGGGAGAAAGTATAAACATTCAGGAGTGAACTTGCAAGGTCAGTACTCTCCTGGACTTCCTGCCTGTGGGAGGAGTGCTGTTGTATGTCTGATCCTCCAGGAGGGTGACCATGTGCTTGGACCAAGGCCTGGATTTTCAGGCCTAGTACGTGGAGCCTGAGGATTGAGATATCATGTAGGAACCTCTGTCTGGAAAAGGAACCTAAGAAGTTGGGCTGAAGCTTGGTCCTTGACTAAAGTATGGTTATTTTTTCCCAAGGAGTCAGTAGCTGAACTATCCAGTACCTTCGAGCCAGTAGCTGATTTTACAAAATGACAGGTCGGCTTAAAGGTTTTCTATCTGTAAAGGTTGTAAATACTCTTTTGTCCATGGGTGTCCTTTGCCCTAATCCCCTCTCACTGGAGTGTTGAGTGACAGTCAAAAAACTCTTTCTTGTGCACCTACAAGTGACTGTAGCCCATCTGTTCACATTGCTCCACTATTGCTGAGGACCAGACCACGAGACGAAATGCTAGTCCACCCTGTCTCTGGGTTCCCACACATGCCCTTTGGAGGTGCTACATAAAGAAAATTTTTCTGTTTTCCTGGTCATTTGAATATTGTAATAATGTGTAAATTAGCTTAAATGAGATCATGTGAGTCCATTACTTTTGCAGGAAATAGCTGTCTATAGATGCATGCCTCCTGTGCCTATAAGTAAATCCAGTCCTGATAAAAGGCATTATATTTGGATCACAATATATTTTTACCATATAAGCTGTTTGATATTGGAACCAATATAAATGAGTAATCTCCATTTATGTTCCACAGAGAATAGAAAAAAAATAACACTGATCAATGTAATCAATTAACAACCTACAACTGCCGGACATACTTGTGTACTTGCATACTATTCTATATGTTATCTAATTATGTTTAAAACCTACAGTACATGTTAAAACGGTATTTTGTGTTTTCTTCCAGTTGACCCCATAAAATGACATGTTGGATAACTTTCTGAATGTTTTTATTTCTTTACTTAGCCAGAGTTTGTAAATGTTTGTTTTTGGTATGTGCCACCAAGCCTACGTAATCAAGAAGAGTCCCCAGACTTCTGGAATAAACTTGGAAAGGTATTGTCATGCTCAAAATATATTTTCTGAATTGTTATTTTTTTGTGCAAAATGTAAGTAGGAACAGCCATTTTCAAGCCCAGCTCCAGCCAAAACATGTTAAAGGAGAACTATGAGGTGATTGAGAATCACTTATCCTCATAGTTGGAGCCGACGTGTGACAATGCATCAATGGATCGCAAAGTGAGCGAACACATACCGTTGGTCACTCACTTCTCGATCATCTCCCTTCAGAGAGCGGTGACTGAGAGTCACCGCTCCCCGCAGGGATTCTCCCACCCCCTGCTTCGATCCTTCAGCGCTGACTGGAGGAACGGATGCGGGAGGAGGCGGGCACAGCTGGCTCTGCCTCTAGATAGGCAGAGCCAGATGTCATTCACGCAGCTGGGTGGATCTCGACAGCATTGTCGGGATCTGTCCTGGCTGCAGTGGTCTCAGTATAGCTGTAGATCGCGATATACTAAGCGTATGCCCTCCCATGACCCCTAAGAGAACTATGGGAGAAAACACTTACCCCATAGTTCTCTTTGAAACATGTTAAACTTCAGTAATTTTCTTATTTCTGTCTGTGCTCTGTTGGATAGATTTCTTCTCACTTTTGATCTGTTTGACACCATCAGGAAGAAATGACCAGAGGAGGGGTCACAGGGACAAAATGATTAGAATAAAACTTTCAAGAGGTTTTAACCTATTCTGTTAAAAGTGTATTTGTATTCAAAGCAATAGAAACCTAAACATAGTTATAACACTTCCCCATTAAAGAGAGTTTGATTTGGAAAAAGCAACATCAAGGAACATGTAAAATAATTAGAGAACAGCTAAGTCTAATCAGGAAACACTGAAAATGTGTCTACTCAGTTTGCCTTAAAGAAAAACTTCGAGCAGAAATGTTATTAACCCTTGCAGTGGCGCTACCTCCGCACTGCTAAGGTAAACTGCTTGTTTTTGCCTTAGGTCACACAAAAAAAAATTATACTCACCTGAACCTCCAAGCCAGCAGTGCTTCCTCTAGCCTGTCGCCTCCTGTGCTGCAAAGATGGTATGTCACTCAGCGTCCTCATGTCTAATACACTGTATTGGACGTGATGACTCGAGGACTCTGAGACTGCTCCAGTGGAGGGGGAGAGACACTCAAGGGACCAGTCTAAGAGCCGGCCAGCTTGTAAACTGTGGTGGGTATAACTTTTTTTGACCCTAGGCAAAAACGAGCAGTTAACCTTTGCTGTGCGGGGGTAGCCCCACTGCAAGGGTTATTAGCATTTCTGCCCGGAGTTCTTCTTTAAACTAGTATTACATTTCCAAACTTTTTCTTTTAATAATGAGTCCAGATGAAACAAATATGCATTACCCAGCAAAGTTTTTTCTTATTTTTCTTTTGCCCAAGCACTTGTAATCTTCACTGAATGGTCATAATTAACAGCTGGCTCCACCTCTCTCATCTCTACTTCCCTGAACTTCCCGCCCCGTAAGAGATCACAAGGGACAGAGAGTATATCAAGACATTGTTATAAGTCCAACATATAATTTCCTTTCAGGTATCCCCAATAGTAAAGGAGAGGATGGTGAAGAAAGGGTCAATGATGGTTGGATACCAGCCCCATGGAAACAGGGTTAACTTCTTCAGGCAGATTATGGTTAATCCTGAAGTGACAAAAGAAGATCTAGACTTTTTCCTGGATGAAATAGAACGACTGGCAGAAGACCTGTGAATTTCCCGTTATATGTGATGTGAACCTGGCAGAGACTCCTTTCCTGGATAAGGATATACGGAGGCATATACATCATTTCTTATAGCCTAGTAGTGAATTGTGCATCAAGAGCCAACGATTATTAACACAGGCACAGTGTGAATATAAATCAGTGGGTATGAAAGCAGAGGGGCATTCAAAAATTATTCACACATCCCCCTGCAGTGTCCTAATATGAGAAATATACCCTTTGATTGCAAGACATTTGAATAAAGTGGTTATATAAAATTCCTTCTGTTTTAAGAAGGCAAACATTTTTATATGGTTTGTACTGCATATATATATATATA